ATGTTGTCATGCTTTTCATGCAGCATGTTTTCATTTAAGTGGTTGTTTCTTTAATTGGGAATATTGTCTTTACTGCTCAGCTCTCCAGCTCAGTGCAGAAGTCTTTGGAAAAGCTGATGTCAGGGCTCCTGAAATGAATAGTTGTGAAGTGCAGCCGGAGGCTCTGGTGCAGCAGCGGTTTCTGAGTGCAGCGATGTGCTTCGCTGGCTGGGGATGTGCTGCAGGCAGCTGTGGAGCACCCTGTGAAAACAGAAGGTGCTGGCAGGCTCCTGTGAGACCTTTTGTGGGCAGTCCTTCCCCTTCCTCTCTCTCCTCCCCAGGGAGCTCTGCCTGCAGATGTCTCTTGTGAGATGCTTTGCCTGCAGTAAAGGCTTGGAGAACCTCTGCCAAGCAAAACGTGTTCTTTAAAGGTTTTGTTGACAGCTCTTTTTCTGTCAGTTTATAGAGGAACTATATACTCTAAGAAAAATCAAGATATTAGTTGGTGAAGCTTAATAGAACTCCTGAAATTCCATGAACAACATCTCTGCGACAGGGATAACAGTGTCTCATGCCAAGAAGTTTGCTTGTGTGTGTGTATGTGGTTTGCATTTTTGTAGCTTCCCTAGAGATAATCTCTAAGTAAGTTGATCTTTATTTCAGAAATGCATCTAGCACTTAAAAATGTATTTAGTCTTTGCAGATTGGTAAAGTGTTCTTGTTTGAATGCTTTTAACTTAAATTTCTTTATCACACTGTCATTCTTCCAAGAACACTTCTCATCTTCAATTTCAATGATAGGATTCCTTTTATGTGAGCTGAAAGGTGTCACTTGACAAATTACAAGTGTTTCACTGAATTAATTGCATTTGGGATGCCTCTTGCTTGGATTAATAGCCTGTTTTTGTTTGTGGTTCTTTGTTTTAAAACATTACCTCTTTGTTTTAAAACATCACCTTCAAGTCATGTAACTTACGTTGTTTTTTATCACTTCTCATATCCAGCCTATCACTATGAGTTCTCACTATTTTTCTTTGAAACACCAGGTGTTTGAAAACTTGGTTAATAAGCAGAGCACTTACTACACCACTTCTGATATGACTCAAGATCATGACTGGAAGACAACTTGAGGGCTTTCAGTTGCATGACTCTGCTAAACCTGCCAGTCAGGGTGAGAAAGAACTGTTTCCATATCCGTTGCAACTGTGGGAGCCAGCGAGACCCATGAATACCAGCCCGCAGCTGGCCCGTCTTCTGGGAAGCTGCTGTATCTCACCAGCTGTCCCAAGGTCTGGCATGTCAGGAGTCTTCCTGCCTCTCTTGGTGAGAGCAGCAGGCTCTTCTGTGTGGTTAACACTCGGCTTCTTAGCCTGCCTAGCTTCCTGCCAGGAAGTAGCTTTAAATCCAGGATTTCCGCAATTCCTGCCTAATTTCAGAGTGATGTGGCAGTACCATCCTCCGTGTGGAACAACCTTCTGTGCTGTTCTTGCCAGTGGCCTGAGCAGACAGATTAGGGCCACCATGTTCTCACACTTGATGCTGTTTTGTTCTCTCTTGAATGTGTTTCAGCATCTTGAGTTCCTGTGTTCTTGTACCTGTCCACGTCATTCCTTTGGAGACTCTGCAGTGACCTGATGCTGTCGTATTTCTGTAGTGTGGAACAAAAGCATAGTGAATGACAGTCTGTGTGAGATGTACCCTGAGTATGGGTTGACTTCAGATAAAGGCTGAAATGAGGAAATATATATTTTCCTTGAAGTCTGTCTTTCAAGCTAGATATTTAGAATGCTCTACCAAAAGAATCAGTCTCCACCCTAGGTGTTTTGCACCATCTTTTTCAAATCTTAAGAATTTCACTTCTCTGTCACCTTTCTCACTTGGCACAGGATATTCCAAACCAAAAAGATGATAAATTAATCCTCACTTTATTATTATTATTTTATGATGTTGTTGCAAGGCTTCTGGGAGATCTGCATTGGTGGGAAGAATACAGCCTTAGTGCTGTGCCAGGTTTTGTTTGTTTGTTTGTGTTATTGCTGAGAAACTATCAGTTTGGTTTCCCAGTTACATCTGAAAAATACTTCATGGATTATATAATGTCTGCAAGTGGCTGTATGGCATACCAGACCTACACTTTCCCTTGAAGACATTCTCTTACTCTAAATGGATTAATTTGGGAGTCAGTTTGTCCCATAGCACTACCTGAGCTCACTCAAGGCATTAAGAAACTGTTGTCTGTACTTGACGACAGATACTGAGAAAAATCAAAAGCATGATTTCAAACTTATGTTAGAATTACAGGAGAACAAAAAAGGACAAATCACAAGCATAAATGTGCTGAACAGAATTTTTCCATGTTCTTCTCCTGTCATGGATGGTTTTGGTCCCTAAAATGGACTTGTTATGTAGGAAGGAAGAATGCTAAAAAGATTGATGACACTGTCATATATAAAGACATTTAGCTTGGTGACTCTGTCCTCCTGATTTCCAGCAGAGCAAGGCTTACTAAAAATAATAAAAAAAGTATTTGGCTGAAAAGCTTCTTCCCTTGGTGTGCTTCTTAAGTATTTGAAACTGAGAGAGGTCAGACCATCCTGGCTGTCAGCCTTTCTGTGATGTATTCGGAAGTTTAGAACCTCTCATGGTACAGAATAGGGGCAAATGTTCTTTCACTTTTGAGTTGTATGGCATGACTTGCTATCAGGATGTGTGAATTAGCTTTTTACTTTATTTGTTGTGGTGTGTGGTGAGGTTTTTTTCTTTTTTTTTTTTTAAAGAAATTGACTTAGTTTTACTTTCAGAATCTTAAGAACCAATAGTAATATTTGAAACAAAGGACAATGTTGGAGAAACTTATGAGAGTTTTCAGCTCTTTCAGCTGGTGGTTCCATTCCTACCAAATAATCTAGGATCTCACCCAAAAAGTTTATTCTGTAAACTCGATGTAGTTGATATAAAGAAAACTTCACAAATGTTTAGATGCACAGAGAGTTTTCGAAATATGTTTCTGGAGAAGGAAATTATGTAGAAAGTGATCAAATGGATGAAACTGAATATGGAAATTTAGCCACTTGATGTACATTTGTTTGATGGAGTGTTTTTGCATGCTGGCAGCCTGTTAGACTGGCAGGGGACTGTTGTGGTGCAGTTCTGCAGTGATGGCCCTGCTGGTTTTAGGCAGAGACCTGATTTCTGTGGACATAACCTGTAGAGAGACCTGATTTCTTTGGTTATGAATAGTCATTGTGAGCTGCAGGGAAGGCAGCATAGCCTCTGACTTGAGACTTGAATGGAGATGGATCCTTTCTCCATGCTGCTCTCTAAGGGGGATGGAATTCGAAGCTGATGTCTAGCAATGTACCCACATCACACCTGTATCCTGACTGTGAATGCATCAAAATCCAAGGTGCTGCTGCTGTTGTGATGCTGCCCAAGGTCCCGTCTGGTGCTTTGGCTGGGCCTGCTGTGTGCTGTCCAACTGCCCTGTGCCTCTGCTCCCACCCCTGTGTCTGCCGTGGCCTGTGTGTGTATTGCCTCTGCTCTCTGCCTTTGGGAACTTGATGGGTGGAGGAAGGATGGCTGTCTGTCTGTCTGTTGATGTGTCTGTCTCACTGAGGAGTGGGTAGTAGGGATTATGGGCCTGGGAAATAGGGTGAAGGAGACTGACTGCTCTGACTGGACATCCAGTGTGCCAAGGAGAAGAGTCCTAGAACTATCTTGTGTGTATATTGATCAGTAGAATGAGAAGGTGCTGCCACTTCCAGCTTCAAAAAAGCCTCCTGCTCTGTGCTGAAAACGAATTAATAATGCCATGATACTTGTTGGAATATTGTGAATTGTATTGCTTTTCATGATTGGAATTTATATTTCCTCACTAATGCTCCTGCTCACTGTGAATGTCTTTTATGAACAGCTTTGACCTCTCTATAGTCTTTATTTGATGCATAGCTGTAGCTACAAAATTGCATTTTCATAGAATCACAGAATAGTTGGGGTTGGAAGGGACTTTTAAGGGCCATCCAGTCCAACCCCCAGCCATGAGCAGGGACATCTTCACTTAAATCAGTTTGCTCAGCCCCATCCAACCTGGCCTTGAATGTTTTCCTGGATGGGGTGTACACCACCTCTCTGGGCATCTTGTGCCAGTGTTTCAGCACCCTCATTGTAACAACATTCTTCCTTGTATCTAGTCTAAATTGACTCTCCTTCAAAACCATTACCTGTTGTCCTGTTGCAACAGGCTCTGCTGAAAAGTTATTTCTCCACCTTAAAAGTTCCCTTTTAAATAATGAAAGGCTGCAATAAGGTCTCCCCAGAGCCTTCTTTCTCTCTCATCCTGTTGGCATTGCAGAGATGTTCTAGCCCTTTGATAATTTTCCTTTCCTCCCCTGGACTTGCTCCAGCATATCCACATCCTTTTCATGTTGTGGCCCCAGAGCTGGATGTAACACTGCAGGTGGGGTCACAGGAGAGTGGAGTGCAGGGGCAGAATCACCTCCCTCAACTGCTGCTTTGGATGCAGCCCAGTTTTCTCTCACTTGTGGATATTAAGATGTTCCAGGGGCTACAATGCCCTGGGGTAACAGCAGTGGAAGGGCACTGGAAGGACAAAGAAGTAGGGAGAACAGGACCAGTATGAAAGAGGTGTTTGTAAAAGACAGTCAAAATGGAAAAAGAGAACAGAGCAAAGAGGGCATACAGGAAAAAAATTAAAAGTTTTCTAAGGCATGAGAAGGAGGAATTAGCCATCATTTAATTACCATAGTTTTGCCAGTAGTCAGGAGCACTGATTTGAAACCTTTTGTTTGAAAGTGTTCAGTTGTGTGCACACAGATGTGCAAAAGGAGAGTCTTTTGACATTCCTCAATATATCTAATTTTTGGTTCTTGCTCAGTATCAATTTTAGGACTGCATGTGTGTTTGTTGAGTACTGACTTGAGTTCTTATAAAATGTTTTTAACTAAAAAATTTTAAGCGAGCGCACCAATTGTAGATGTTTACTATTAAAACTTTCTTTGTAGGTAATTGCACTTAAGAATGAACATTGAAGACAAGCTGGGAGGATTATTTCTTAAATGTGGTGGCATAGACCAGATGCAGTCATCCAGGGCTATGGTAGGGATGGGTGCAGTATCTGACCAGTCTGGAGTATCGAGAGAACGGCAAGAGGCAGTGCTTCAAGATCGGACTATGCCGCACCAAGAAATTCTTGCAACAGATGAAGTGTTACAGGAAAGTGAACTTCGACAGCAAGAGATGATTTCACATGATGAACTCATGGTCCATGAGGAGACGGTAAAAAATGATGATGAAATGGATGCACAAGATAGACTTCCTCAAGGGCTGCAGTATGCTGTTAATGTCCCTGTAAGCAATTTCTTTGTGAAATATTGGAGAGATTACTAGGAAGCTTGATCTGGTAGTCTAATCCTACTCTGGCAAGAATCTATTAATTGCTTGTTTGGATTTGGATTATCAAAATATTTATGTCATTTGCCTCTGGCTGTGGATAAATTTTGCCAATTAAGTATAATCTTTAAGTATCTGTTTTATAAATATTTTATAAGCAGGCTGTTACCATAGAACTAAAGTGTTAAAATGTGCTCCTTTAAGGATATTTAATGTTCAGGGGTAACTACAAAGCGGAATAAATAGCTTTATTAGAAGGTGCATACTGTTTATGCTGTTCATAGTACTGTTTAGTTGCTTTTGCTATAGGAAGCATCTTGTATGTTTTTAAGGTATGTGGACGCTTAGCAATTGCATTCACACTGCAGGTTGGACTGTGACACTTCATACATGACCATAAATATGCCCCTCCACGGAATCTCATAGAAGGCATACCTTGGCTTTCCCAGAGAGCATAGAGATGACTTCCTTTTGAAAGCAGAGCATCTGTCTGTAATGCAGCACACCATCACTGTTACCCTTCAAACATAAAGGACAGTCACCAGGACTATAAAAGTAGACAGCCTTACACACGAAGAATAATCTTCAGAAACACAGCACTGCTAAAACACTAGTCTGTTAGCTGTAGATCAGGTGGCTCAGGTGTTAGAAAAATGTAAGAGTATCATGGTCTTCATTAAAGTTCACATTAGATCGAGATTTTGAAATTTTTTTTTTCCCAAAAACTTCATTGGAACTGGTCTTATTTTTTTTTTCCTTAAAAATACTTCTGTCTTAAATACATAATAAACTATTCCGTTAAATCTTATATTGACAACAGCATGGACTAAAGTAAAATAGGTATGAAAAACTGAATGGTTTTACAGATGGAAGTGATTTTAATATATGAAATGATCTCAAAATCACCACAGGTCAGGAAAAAAGACCTTGGGAGATGAATGAAAGGATACATCAAAATGTTACTGAGGAAATTAACTGTGCCCTTTTTATTTAAGATACATATTAATTCTTTCACTTAAATTTCTGAAAGAGTGAAGCCAGAAGATAATTCCCTTAGGAAAAGGTTTTCTGTTTCAGCAGTTTGTCATCTTCTAAAATTGAAAAATTGCTTTTCTGTAGTGAGAACCTTACCTGAAACTGGCACTTGGTATCTTAACAGATCAGTGTAAAGCAAGAAATTACCTTTACTGATGCATCTGAACAACAGAAACGAGACAAAAAACAAATACGAGAGCCAGTAGATTTGCAGAAAAAGAAGAAAAGAAAACAGCGTTCACCAGCAAAAGTAAGACATTGATTTGGCAAAACCAAGATTAAAAGGACCTGAAGATTTGGTTGACTATGACTAATTTCATTAGCATTTGAACTAGTTAGGCTGGAAATTGTTTGTTTGCTCAGTAAAGATGCAGTTCTGAAGTTCACCAGAGACCCAAAACAAAACTGATATAACAGTGTTTTTCTTTGAACTCCTTTTAGCAACATGAACTCTTGACATATTTTAACATCTGTCTCTCCAGGCAGTTCTCTCTCCAAATATTTTTTTTTAAATTATGAGTCAGTAGCTTTGTAGACCATTTATAAATCATTACTCTGTATCTATCTAATAATAGTTGTGCTTTTCTGTGAGCCTGATAATTTTACATGCTTCATGCATAGTAGTGAAAAGTTTTTAAAAAGAAAACTAAAATGGTAGTTTTGAAAATTCTAAAAAGCTTACTAATATATATAAAATAATTTACTGGTAGGGAAAATTCCTGTGGTCATAATCATCTTCATATATGTATTTATTTATATCAAAAGGTTCTTAACCTAGCTGCTGGTTTGTTACTTAAAAATTTGTTTTGTAGATCCATTCATGAGGACTATGTATCCCTGTATGTCTGAAAACAATTTTCTTCTGTTGAGAAGCACTTCAGATAAAACCAGAATCATTTCACCTCATGAGGTAGCAGTGTTACATCTTCTAGTAACTCCCCAAATCAGTATTAATCTTCAGACTTAAAATAGAACATATGCACGCTGCTCTGATGGAAGTAAATCAGTTATGTTATCACGCAGCAGCATTAAAATAAGCCTACTCAGAAATCAACCCAGACTGTTTGTACATTAAAGGAAAACTCACTGTAATACAAAGAAAATCTCCCAAACCTCCTTTTTGTTGCCCTGGGAGCAGGACCTTCCAGTCCTCCTCAAAGCACTGTCAAATAAGGTTGCACCTGTAGTATTCTTGGAAAGCTGAGAAATTGCTTCAGATTGGGTGTGGAAGCAAGTTCCAAATGCTGTGCATTTTTTTCTCACTTCTCCCTTTGAGAGAAAAAAGAGATCTAGGTTGAGTACATCCAGAGATCACTTCCATGGAAACATGGCAAGGTAGAAGAGGCGTGTGCCCCTCTTTCTACAGACGTGTACTTGCATGCTTCCTTTTTATCTCCCAGTCTGCCAGGATTAGTCTTTTGAGATGACAAAAGATTGAAAAATGATCAGGAGAATTGTTAAACAGGTTCTTTTTCAGTCTCTCTTCCCCTTTTTCAGACCTGTCAGAGTAGAAAGGCAGAGTAGAAAAAAGCTGAAGGACTGACCTAGGTGAGAACCTACTGCAGTTTCAGTATTTCCAGAGTAGTGGGGTTGATTTTCCATCCAGACAAGCAGCTGGAACTCTGACAAGTGGAAGTCAGTTAACATTCTGAAACCTTCTAAATTCTGTTTTATATCAATGCAGTAGTCAGGTAAGGAAGAAGTCATCAGGTATCCTGACTCGTGTCTCCTGTTCCCTCTCCCATGCAGACACACACACGTGCACACACGGACACACACGCACGCGCACACACACACACGCACAAGCTTTTTCATTGCTTTGGTTAGGGAAGCTGCTCTGACAAAGTTAACTCTCCTCATTTAAGAGGTGGTAGATTAAGTAGAAGAGTAGAAGAGTAGAATATTCCCAGGCTTAGGATAACCATGAAATTAAGTGTGTTTTCTGCACAATTACTTTAAAATTTCAATATAATATATGAAAAGCGTTTCATAACATGTATTTAAATTTGTTTTAAAGACGCAGTCGGCTTCATCAGCTGGATAATGTTACAGAACAGAGTCTTTACAATTGTCTGTCTCTGTGACTGGAGCTGTAACACACCAATCTTACAGACGTATGAATGTGCTTGTCCTTCAGAGTGAATGCACAAGAATTTGTTAGTCTGAGAGTTTCACTCTTGTTTCGATGCAGGAGAATTAAAAATTAAGTAGATCTTACAGTATTTGCTACTATTTCAGAGATACTGTTTCAGTTATTGACTCTCTCTTTCTCATCACTGTCATTATCATAAAACCTAAAACGCTGTAGCTAATCAAACTGCAGATGTGTTTTCCCAGCATACTTTTATTTTTTTTTAATAACAAGGGACTAAACTGTACTATTTAAGGTTCTTTAAGCTCTTCTTTAGAGTTGTGTTTGCAGTTAAGCAAGATTTTATAAATGTAATTTGTTTACTGATTTTCTTATTCTCTTGCCAGAGATAGTAGAGATTTTGGGTTTTGGTTTAGTTTTCTATTTTTATTATTTTTGACAAATTAGAGAAAACCTGTGATTAGTTTTATTGAATAAAGTAGATGTGGTGCATTTTTTAAATTTAAGTTTTTTTAACTTTATATGAAAATAGCGGCTTTGTTTGACAGCAAAGCAATTGAGTGTGGCAAGTTGAAGTCATCAAGGGGATGCTTTAATATGTATTTTAAGTGAGCAATACTTTATTGAGTGAAAAACCTGAAAGGGGAGAAGAATAATACTACTCTCTTGGCTGTTTGGCTTTGGGATTTTGGTTTTTAAAATATAATTTTACCTTTGAGACTACTGGTTTTATATAGATGCAGATAATATATGACGATTCTGGTTGAGATTTAATGACTTTTAGCGAACATTTAGAGTTGTCATTTGATAAAACGAATTTAACTATTCACTTTTTCTTTAAAATATGATTCTACATGGTTTAGTGCCCAGGAGTGGTTTGATGACTTTGCATCCTTTCCAACAGACGGACAAAATAAACAGTAGCTTATAAAGTGCCTCAGCTGTGCCTAGGGAAGCTCTGAGCTGATTTTCCATGAGCTGCCTTTGTCTCTGTTCTGTTGAAATATTTCTTAATGCAACAAGACACAAGTTGGATTGGACTGCAATTGGAAATGTGTATTAGAAGCTTAACGCATAGTTTTGTAGAAATTAGCATTGTTTTACCTGAAATATTTACATTTTCTGCATCGAAAAAATTAATGTTTTTTTTTTTTTGTAGTTAATAAGACATCTTTAGAGGGTAGTGTGAGAACAAATTTTACTCTTTTTAAAATAGATCCTTACAATAAATGAGGATGGATCACTTGGTCTGAAAACCCACAAATCTCATGTTTGTGAGCATTGCAATGCTGCCTTTAGAACCAACTACCATTTACAGAGACATGTCTTCATTCATACAGGTACTGCTTGACTTCAAATTTGTCTTTTCTACTATATAAAGAGTTGTTTACTTATGTTAAAAATGTTTTCAGCTCTATGCGAATTTCAGTTTTAAGAGTGTAGCTAACTTGGCATCTAAGCTTAGAGATTCCATGCACCAAAGTGTCAAAAGAATATCAGAAAAAAAATCAACATATATTTAATAAACTGAAGAGCTAACCGTTTACAAGGTTTCTTTTCTTTCTTTATCAGAAAGTAATGGGTTGACTTGTAGCCTAAGTGCCAAAAATTGACCCCTTTGTAAAATGTGCTGCAGCTGCTTATTTGCCTGATGAGGTATCTCTGTGTTTGGAGAAGTGAAAAAGGTACTTACTGTTTTAATAGCTTGCCAGTATCCTGAATGCAGTCTATGCCAGCATCTTGATTGATCTTGCACTTGAGGAAATTACAGCCATTCCAGATCACTCTTCTGTGCTAGTCTTAATGTGACTCTTAGGATCATGGAGAGAACTCTGCAGTTCATGTACCTAGTAAGGCAAATGTCTTTTGGTATCAGGGTATTTTTGGAATTCGCTCAGATGCTGGTGTTTTTAATAGACATTTTAATATTCCTCAAAAATAGTTATCAGAAACAACAGTGTGTAGTTATTAACTTATGGATGTGGAATTATATTGTTCAAGGTGAAAAACCATTTCAGTGCAGTCAGTGCGACATGCGTTTCATACAGAAGTACCTGCTACAGAGGCATGAGAAGATTCATACTGGTGAGTATAGTGCCTTGAGTATCTTTACTGGCGTGCTTAAAAACTGTTTCCCCACTCAGGCAAGGTTTCTGGTAATAAATATGCAGCCAAAAACCCTGTCGTAGTTTGTTTTAATTTAACACATGTTACCAAGTTACAAAGCTTTTAAAAAGAAATTAGTTTTGTGCTTTCAACTTGTTCCACTTTCCTTTGGCTGTAAAATGAGTATGAAGTCCAGTAAGCGGATCTGAAAGTAGTTTTCTATAAATAACCCCAGAGCAGCAAATCCTGAAGTTTGTGCATTCATAAAAGTCAAAGTTCGTTAAGCAGTTCTGTCTTTTGTTGTATCAAGTTGATTCAGACAAGGGGGACTTCTAAATTTCATTTCCATAGATTTATTTGTTTGTTTGTCTGTTTGTTTGTACTTGAATTTGATGGAAAAGTGCCAGGACTAAAATGGCCAAAATGCCTAACCCCAAAGGTATTAGTATCAGCTTTTCTTTTCACTTTTTTTTTTTCTTCTTTTAGGTTTAATTCAGAACTGTTTTAAAAAGAAGAGTCTTAGTTTAAAAATTATGCAGTATAGGTCAACTAAGGCTTTAAGCCAAAGCGAGCTAAAGTTTATATATGTTTATTTTTTTAATATTGTTGCACCACACAGAACCACATTCTTTAACAGGTTTGGTTTCATTGGGTTTTTGGCATTTTGGTGCATGGCCTTTCAATCCCTCTTTAAATATTTTGTAATATGGTCCCTTTTGGACTAGATGCCAATTTCTCAGCCTCTTTTTCAGAAAAGCAGAGCTGGTGAATGTGCACAGTGTTTCTTGGCTGTAGCATTTAAATGGATATGAAAGCTACTAACACGCAGTGCAGTGTGTGCATGTGTAAGGGTTGAGAGGGAGAAAAAACTCTGCAAAATGAATTTTCAGAGCAGTGTACAGGGAGTTACATGCACAAATACCCTGTTGTTTATGGGATTTTTGTATCCTAGGTTGCCATGAGTCCAGACTAAGTAGGTTTCCTCCAGCCAGTCAGCCACAGAAGAGTCTTCCATTCTTCTGTCCAGTGTCTTTGTTCTGCTCCTAGTCTTTCCTCTGGCTCTGAATTGGTGAACCATGCTGCCTCCACTTTGTGTAGATACTTATTCTTGAAAAGAATGCTCATTCAGTCTCTTCCATCTATCTGCCCTCCAGCCCCCCCAAAAAGGCAAAAATTTTAAGTGCAGTCTTCACATTTTTTAGAAATTTTTTTTTTTCAAATGAGGATTATTCCCTGTACGTGGCTTTGAAAATGAGAGTCTGGGCAATATAGTTAATTAACACTTGACTGCAAATATTATATAAATTGATTTAATTATCTTTTTAAATTTAGCTTCTAGCTCTAATAAGAAGTCTGTGTCAATTGTGAGCTTTGGAGGGAGGGGGGTGGATGTGGTGGGATTGTAGGTTTTCATGCCAGCTCTTACATATGCTAGTCTTTGTTTAGCAGAGAAAAAGGTACCATTTAACTAATTAACCATATCTGACTTTTTTTAGATATCTGTGTTTCCTCCTTTCCCCAGCATCCTGAACTATAGTTTCGTTGTTTCTCAGTTTAAATTGTGTTTAAATTGTTGAATCATGAATGTTTTCCTAGGTGACAGCTAGTAATGATTAGGAGAAAACACATAAAACCCAGCTTCCAAGGGTGGCAGAATTTTTTTTGAAGGCTGTTTAGTTAACAAGAATTTAACTAGTGTTTAATTTTTGGCTTCACCCAGTTATAGTATAGCTAATTGGCACTCTGCATACCTGTCTGTGCTTTCACCTCAATATGATAGTGCTCACTACTGGCCCTTAGCTGTTTGTGTAGTCACTCTGCTGTTCAGGGCTGCATAACTAAACCCATGCAGAAAACCTGAATTTTCAACTTGATTCTCTAATGAGAAGGTGAGCAGTGGGTCTATGTTTTACTTTGATAAAAGTGAAGATCTGTTTGTATTATTCATACCCTTAAAAAAAAGTTTCTTAACTTTACTCAATACTTTTTAATTTTGCATTTTTATCTCCATGAATGACCACTTTTAGCACCAGCTTTTGGACAGTGTTCAAATTGCTGATGTGGAACAGTAAATCTCTTATCTTTTAAAGATTTTTATCAAATTTTCTAGTTTATTTTAAAGCAATCAAAGAGAGTAGTAACAGGTAGAAGCCCCATTTTATGCTTGTTAGAAGCCCCCAATTTACAGGTGCCTCAGCTGTTTCCAGTCTGTTTTGACTTGGTTCTCTGAACCACTCCTTCAAAGGAAATGTTGTGAGGCAGTTAGGAAGCAATCAATGAACAGCCTTATTCTGTGTAAATAATTAAACAGTTGCATCTAAAAGCAGACATTGCATTAATACAAAATTTGCTTATAATTGTGTGTAGAGGAGGGCAGCAGTGTTGGAACCCTGCTGCTAAACTTGTCCCTAATGATACAGAAAATTGCTATTTTAGTTGTAAGAAAGGGAAGAGTCACTGGTATGCAAATATTTTCAGTTTATGAGGTTGGAGAAGATGCTGAATGTTCTTTTTTTTCTCTTTCAAATATGTCTACTTACTTTTTGTTTAGAAATGTTTCTATATACCTTACCCATTCAGGCATTCATGTGTCCTAATTGTGTAAGCCACCCTACTTTCCATTTTAAACACAAAAACTAAGATTACATTAAAAAAAATAAAGCACCATTGGGGCTGACAATTCAAGTGCCTTCTTATTCAGTCATGCTGATTTTTTCATAGCCTTCTTTAGTATTTTATAATTTGGTTTTTGCCTGTTTAGACTTTAAAATGCCTGGCATTGTAATTGTTACAGCCTTCATACACATAATATTTGTACTACACTGGATGAGTAGTTCTATTGCTTGGTTTTAATAGATTGCCAACATAGACACAACACATGAGCTGTTTTCATAAATAATGCATTAATTGTTGTATTGTATTTTTAAATTTTGAGGGTTTTTTATACATCTGATTCTTTCCCACTGACCGAGACATTTCAGAAAAGTGTGTCCTGGATTCTCCCTGCATTATCAAAAGACTGTTATTAATGGTCTCCTCCATTGGCAATAGATCCTGTCTGAAAAGTACAACAAAATTGCGGAAGGCATCTGAAGTTTTAGGCTTCTGCTAGGATGAAATTATTATTGGAAGCCTATCTTCATATTAATTTTTAATCTTTTCCTAAAATTATCTTCCATATGAAGATTAAAGCCAAAATTAAATATGGTGTCAGTTTCACAAAGGTTTTCTTAATCTTACTTTCAGAGTGTTCTGGAATTCTACTGAAAAATATTATTTTCTGTACTGTGCTGAGTTAACTCCAGGGCAGTGTCCCCAAATTCTTCTCCTTGTTAAGGCATGGCCAGCAGTGCATTTGTATGTGCCCTGAAAGTCTCCAGAATAGCTGGTGACTGTAATCCACATAAAAACCACAGACCCCTGTTTGGCCCTGCTTCAGCCTTGAAATGGGAATAGGGAGCTGCAGAGTCTTCTACCAGCAAATAGTCAGCTTGGGTAGGAAAATGTTAAGGAACTCTGTGTGCATTCACTGACAGAAAGGAGTGTAAGGCTGCAGGTAAGTGCCTTAATGAAGTGTTCTGCATTTCCTGGGATTGCAGGATGGCTCCTTAGAGGGCTGTTCAAGGCCAGAACAGGACTCAGCTCTCTTGCTTTAAGGCTCAGGATAGTTTTCAACCTAAACAGCCACTCCATTCTCTAAAATAAATCTGAGGTAGCATGAAAGCAAGCTTTGAAACAGTGTGAGAAGAGTTGTTTGAAGGAGCAATTAAAAAAACCACAAAGTAGGATAGTGGAGCAAAGGGAAAGAAAACAGTAAGTAGCAAGGACTAAGCAGTAGTCTTCAGGAATGGAAGAGTTCCCATGTATCAAACAAGAACAATGAGGTCTAAATGTCCTGTCTCAGCATCCTGAAAGTAGAAGGCAAGGATTGGAATTTGTTTCAGAAAGTCTGAACAGGCTTGTTGGAAGTAAGGCACTGTAGTTTTGAGGGTGCCTTAAAAATAAAGAGAACATGAAGAATGAACCTGGAGTTTGAAAGTGAAGAAATAGGCCAGAGGGGAGGACTTGCTTGTAGGCAGGATGAGAGGAAATTATATGATATGTGTTCATAATTTACAAGCGATGTTGAAAAAAAGCACACAATTTTATGGTGCTTATTAATAAGCAAGAAATGGTAAAGTTCTCTAAGTGAAGTGAAAGAAGAGATGTAGAATACTGGGGTTGTGAGCCTGTAGAAAAAGAACTGATGGAAGCTGCGAGATCTGAGGACAGGAGATAATTTGATTTAGAAGAGAATAAATTGGAATAATTTCATCTGAGAAAGGGATTGGCTGAGAAGCCACATGGAGAGGTAAGAATTAATAATTCGAAATAGGACATAGGCTTACAAAGAGAGAGATTTAGAAATTGCTTGGAATTAAGGAATTTGAAACTCGGGGCATTAGTGATCTGACTAGGAGCAAATGTGTGGCTGATACAGATATTTTCCATTCTAGTCTCTATAAATACTGGAACTTTATTTTCAGGTACTGTATTCCCATCTGTAGAAGGATGTGGATAAATTTCTCTATTCTAAATGGAAAATACAAATTCTGTCAACATTTTAAATAATACAATCTATTAATTTAAAGTTTTAAACTTTAACAATTAATTGCTGGTAATTCAACAGTTTATAATATAATTAGTAAGAATAAAACTACTTTAGAAAACAGCAATAGTCTGCATAGTTCTGGAAACAAGACATAAATGGTCCATATCCCAAAAATCAGTGCAGTGCAGTACCCAGAATGAAAAGGGTCTTGACAGATGCTGCCAAGACAATCCCTGACCTCTACATCAGTCCAAAAGATTTCACAGTAAATACTAAGAGGAGAGATCACTGTTGTTCAGGGTGAGTTCTAGTAAATAATGGTGAAGTTGTATAAAAGCAGAACTAACTTTTCAATGCATTGGAAATTTTTAGGTTTTGTCAGAGAAACCTAGGAAAAATATCAGAGGGAAGATGTAAGGCAAAAGTTAAAAGAAATAAAAATAGTTACTCCCTGCTCAGAAAGTATTGTTACAGGGTTTCTTTGTGAGGAAAAATAAGGGGGAGAACTGAAGATGAATTCAGGGCAGTGCATATTGTCTGAACGAGTATTTCCTGAAAGTAAAGAAAAAAACCCAGAAACCAAAACTAGCTAACAAAACAATCAAAATGAAAAACGTGTAAGTTTGCAAGTGCTGGTTCTGCTACAGAGGTTTTCTTGGGTTTTGTCTTAATTTAAAAAAAAATAAAATTAATTAGTTCTTAAAAAAAATTTGGGTTTCAACCAAACCCAAGGACTTTTTCAAAACAATTCTCTCAATTCCCCATGGAAATAAGGGAAAAATATGGAAGAATAGAAAACACCCTCCAAAATGTTATATTTGAAAATTAATTCCCTCCTAGTGGGGATGGGTTTGAGTTAATGATTTGGTGAGAGGGTTGAGGTATTTTTGTACAGTTGTCTGCCCTAAAAAATGCATACTGTAGCAACAATTCAGGAAGACCATCTTTGCAGTTCTTAATTTCTTAGGTGTAACACTTACCTACACCTGCATTAGAAAGGAGTAAGGATTTAGTTTTAAAGGTGGGGCTTTTTTTTAGCATAAAAGCTTAAAATAATTTGAGGCATCAGCAACTGAGTATTGAAAAAATAGTGATGTAAGCAAGCCCTATGTTGTTTTTCAATAGCAATAGACTAAATCCTCTTACTGCTTCTAATAGAGAATGTAGTATTTGACCTGGTAAGTTTATGGAAGAATGTTGATTTATTCTTTTAGATTAATATTGCTATGTGTTTTTTATCAGGTGAAAAGCCATTTCGTTGTGATGAATGTGGTATGAGGTTTATTCAGAAGTATCACATGGAAAGGCACAAAAGAACTCACAGTGGAGAGAAGCCTTACCAGTGTGAATATTGTTTGCAGGTAAGATGACTTAGTGAAATCTTCTGTGCTTGCAAGCCAAAACACCAGTCAATTTCCCAGTATTTCAGATGGGGCTTTCTCCATTTTATACAAATAAATGTATAATGAATGTTTTTTCAGTCAAGGTGGGCTATCTTGGTGGTGCAGAGTCACAGCAGGCTGGGGTTGATTTTATTGACTGTATGCTCTTGTTTGACACTTCATTAAAAATTGGTCAAGTGGGTGAATCATCAAGTAAATTTGTTAGAATGAAAGGTTTCTTTTCTTTCTGCTAACATATTTATTTAATAATGACGATGACAACAACAATAATAATAGTAATACTCACCATAATAAAAATACTATTTTCCAGTATTTCTCCAGGACCGATCGAGTGCTGAAACACAAACGTATGTGCCATGAGAACCGTGAGAAGAAACCCAACAGAAGTGCCACCAAAGTTGGCTTTTTGCCATCGGAGGAAGATTCTGGTTTCTCTACGCCTCTGAAAGACAGCTCCTTGCCAAAGAAGAAAAGGCAGAAAACAGAGAAAACAAAATCTGGGGATAAGGAAAGTTCAGATAAATCAGATCACAAGAAGGACAAAAATGACTATTTGCCTTTGTACTCTTCTAGTACTAAAGTAAAAGATGAATATATGGTGGCAGAATATGCTGTCGAGATGCCACATTCTTCAGTCGGTGGATCGCACTTAGAGGAAGCCAATTCTGGAGAAATACACCCACCGAAGCTCGTTCTCAAAAAGGTCAACAAGAGGAGTCTGAAGCAGCCACTTGAGCAAAGTCAAACCATTTCACCTTTATCTACGTATGAAGACAGCAAGGTTTCGAAGTATGCCTTCGATCTTGTGGATAAGCAAAGTTTACTGGACTCTGAAGGTAATGCTGACATTGATCAAGTCGACACATTACAGGAAGGGCCCAGTAAACCTGTACACAGCAGCACTAATTATGATGATGCAATGCAGTTTCTGAAGAAAAAGAGGTATCTACAAGCAGCTAGTAACAACAGTCGAGAATATGCCTTGAATGTAAGTACCATAGCATCTCAACCTTCAGTAACGCAGGCAGCTGTGGCCAGTGTCATTGATGAAACTGCTACAGCCTCAATACTAGACACACAGGCACTGAATGTTGAAATTAAAGGTAACCATGACAAAAATGTCATTCCAGATGAGGTACTGCAAACTCTTTTAGATCATTATTCTCACAAGGCTAATGGACAGCATGAGATCTCTTTCAGTGTGGCTGACACAGAAGTGACCTCTAGTATATCCATCAATTCCGCTGAAGTATCTGAGGTGACCCCATCTGAGACGGTTGGAACAAGCTCTCAAGCTTCCTCATCAGATAAAGCTAGTATGTTACAAGAATATTCAAAGTTTTTACAGCAAGCTTTGGACAGAACTAGCCAAAATGATGCCTATTTGAACAACCCGAGCCTTAATTTTGTGACTGATAACCAGACACTTACAACCCAGCCAGCATTTCCTTCCATGGAGAAGGTCTACACCTCTATACCCGTCAATAGCTTTCGGTCGGGAATGAACTCTCCATTAAGAACAACTCCAGACAAGTCTCACTTTGGACTAATGGTTGGTGATTCTCAGCACCCTTTTCCCTTTTCAGGTGATGAGGCAAATCATTCTTCTTCCTCCTCTACACAGGACTTCTTGGATCAAGTAACTTCTCAGAAGAAAGCAGAGGCACAGTCTGTTCATCAAGCATATCAAATTAGCTCCTTTGAGCAGCCCTTTAGAGCTCAGTACCATGGGGCAAGAGCTGGAATATCCTCTCAGTTTAGCACTGCCAATGGACAGGTGAACCTTCGGGGACCAGGGACAAGTGCTGATTTCCCAGAATTTCCCTTGGTGAATGTAAATGATAGCAGAGCTGGGATGACTTCTTCACCTGATGCCACAACGGGCCAGACTTTTGGCTAAGAAATCTTTGTAAATAATACTGGCACTTTAGAACACATTTGTCAAAAGGGGGTTGCTCTGTATAAGATGGAGTTCTGTACAGCTTTTAAGAGCGCTATGTTAAAACAGAAGTAAGCTGATATTAGCAAGACCAATAACTGCTTCTTTTTTCTTTCATTTTTCTTTTTTAAAAAAATTTTTTCGTTAGCCATCATCATTGAACTGCCTGATGTTGGTGCCCCTATCAAAGGCAGTTTATTATTCATTTGTTTGAATCCAGAAAATATTTTACCTTCTATGAAATTTTAAAATAAACAAAATCCCCAGGTAAGACTTTCCCCCATGATTGTTTCCTTGCTGGTTTCCTTGTATGCTTTGGGAGGAGTTTTTTGTCTGATACTATTCACATTGTCATTTCTAAGCTTGTCAGCATAGTTGTTGCTCTTCAGCAGGGAATCAACGTGTACTAAACACACAGAATAAACAAGAACATTTTGGAAGTCAAACAAATATGCTTTAAAAGAAAGCATTTTCTAGAAAAATCTTCAGTCTCTCTCAAAAATAATTTTCGACCATGTGCCCTTTATTTCTGCTTTGCATTACCTTGAGTTGTGTTTGGAGGGAAAGAAAGTGAATTCTGATAGACTAACTCTACTATTTAAAAGTCTAATTAATTTAAAATACTTTAAACACTTTTTTAAGCAAAATGCCTAACTGCTAAAGCCTTTACTTCATTCCAGAAGTAATGTGTATTTCTTTGTACAGCTGAATCTAGATGTAACTTTTTAATGACTTTTTCATATGCAGAAACCAAGATTTTGAAGTTTTAGTTAAAATACTCTGTAGATGACATTCCCAATTGCAAAATGCTTACACAAACAGTGTATTCCAAGATTTAAAAGCTTAATTGTACCTTACCCTACATACTCATAACGATTAACATAGAGCACTTAGTCAACTTTATAGTTTTTGATTTCTCAAAAAATAAAACCATTTTTAGATGTTTAGGTTTGATACGGTTGCATAATTTTCATCTCATACAGCAGCTCCAATAATTCTTTTCCATGTACTTGAGATTGGGTATTTTTAGCTTCTGTAAAAACTGTTTTAATTCTCTGTCTAGAATTTTGACAATTCCAATTATTAAATTTATTGAAGTATCCCTGAAAGCTGAAGAAGTGGGCATTCAAATTCCCTATTTTTTAGTGTTTGCTTAGTAAAAGTCACTACAATTTTACCAACCCAAACTGGTGAATGATGCTAGTGAACAGGATTTCTTTTTCCAGCCTAGGAGAGTGATCAGAAGTTTTCATTGCATTTCACAGTATAAATAAACTGCAAAGTTTATCCCTGTACCATGAATATGTTTTTTTGAATAGTACTTTGTCTTGAAGTATACAGTATGGTACGATAAGTAGTTCTGTGTGCATTTTTAAGGTGGTAAGATTTGAGTAGCCTAACTATTGTGTAGTTTAAGTTAACAAGTTTCAGATTTTTGAACTGTATGTTCATTCTATTGCACCTTCCCTAAAGGGACACTGTCTGGTAGTTCAAGGCAGTTTAAGCCTCGTGTAGGCTGATTAACCAGGGAAAAACACACACACACACATACACACATACATACACTTATAGGTAGGTGTGTATATGGTGGTTTTAAAATAGGATTTCATCCAGGTTTTTACAGCACTGTTGCTAGCTAGTGTCTCTCAGATAAAGCCATCAGGTAGGAGAAAAGGCTGCATCTCAAGGGGCTAAAATATATCCTGTCTTTTAAGAAAGGACTCGAGCAGGACCTAGAACAGTTCCCACCTCTTACCAAAGCAGTAGCAATATTTTTCTGAATTTTTGTTACCAGGAAACTGATCCCACTTTGTCTTTTCCCTTTTGGGAGCACTACTACAGCACTAATGTCACTTGGTACAGTTGAGGGAGAAAGGGCATTTGTTATCCATAGCCTGCTTCTTCTATTGGCAAGAATACAGTTTATATAAACTAATTTCTTAATACTTTTGTATAAAAAAGCAGGCTCTTTTGATTTGTTGACCCTGTGTGTAATACAGTAAGGCATTTCAGCATGCTCTGACTTACCAGTAATTTTGTCTGAATATTTGGCCACAGCTTGAAAAGAGTGGGCATCAAGGGAGAAGAGTAAATTCCTTATGGATTATTAATGATACATGTAAAGAAATTTCTTTGAAAGAATATTTTTAAACTGATTTGTGGTCTCTCTGTTTTTTTTCCTTTATGGTCAGTTTGGTTTTTTGACTTTCCATTGTGTGTTGCACAGAAATAACATAAAGGGTCTCTATATCCCAGGAAACCACCTCTTGTAAGGCATACTTTGTTTTCAGTGTCCATTTCCATGACATCCTAGCTTGTGGTGCCTGAATAATACTGTGTTGGCACTTTTGTTCCTATGCCCCGATGTTGCAAGGAGATGGCAATTGTACTATTTGTTAAATATAGCAAGGAACAAAAGAAACAAACAACAAAAAAAAAGGCTGGGTTATTACTGTGTTACTGCACTGCTGTGGGCCCATAGGGAGGTAAGAGGAATAAAGCCTCCTTCTCCCTAGGGGGACTGACTCAGCTTCATTTAAAAAAAGTTGCTGCATTGACACTCTGGCGTGAGAATGTGATTGAGGACTTGGAGGGAGTGGCTCTACCCTGCCACTGTCACAGTCACACTTGGGATCACTCCGAGGGTGTGTGAGGGAGCAGGCTGCTGCACAGACTGAAGGAACCTGCTCTTCCCTGCAGCCAAACGGGGATCACCAGAGGAACTGCTGTTTGCTACATCACAGCTCATTCCCCAGCCTGCTGCTGAGCCATTCCAGCTGCACCCTGTGCCTTAGGACAGGCTGTGAAGTCCCCTAAGCCACAGGGACTGTCTCGTAGGGTTCTTCCACGTGTACAATTAAAGCAGTGGGTAGTTGATCTGCTGATGCTTGAAGCTTTCTGCACTGGAGGAGTTAGCCAAATGTACTGCTGTGATTTCCTGAGTCCATCCCCTTTTGTCCTGGAATAAGTGTTTATGTAGCTCTGGGAGGTTTAGCTCTGTGAAAAGCTCTTGCTTGTTTAATAATGGCATTATTTAATAACGTTTTTCACTGCTCACATTTTGCTGCTTTTAATCTGCTGCAGATGCACACTCTTCATGTTGATCTGGTCATTCTTGTTAGTTTTCTGTGTACGTGTGGAAAAAAGCAGCTTTGGTTGTCTGTTCTGTTCTTGTGCTGTCAGCATAAGGCTGGGGTGAGCATGGAGATTGCCCTGAGCTAACAGCAGCCATTCCTACCAAAAGGTCATGAGAGCACCAGATATGTGTGTGTGTGTTAGGTGGAATTTTTGGGGATATCTACTAGTGATAGCGCAATGATCATTTTGAAAAAGAAGAAATTGATGACATTTATCACCAAGCTCTCTCTCTTTCTCTACATATATATATATATATACAAAATACATATATATATATGTGTATATACACATGCACTTATTAATAGGCCATATTTTGGTCCTAAATTACTTGACAGTGTCCCTTTTAGCATGAATCTTTTGATATGTTTTGCCATTAATATGACAGACAATGAAGGAATCAGCTTGTAATGGTATACTAATAGGCATTTACATTTTCTTCATTTGATTTGAGAATGAATTAATCATAAATGACAAGTTTTGGGGAGAAGGATTAACCATGTGTATTACTGTATGTTGGTTTACGAATAACAACATAAACAATTTAAATTGGATGATAAAAGAACCATGTTTATGATCTTGTGTCTCCTAGTGTTGTCTTTAGGAAAATTGTGTTTCAAGAAAAAAATAGGACAAGAAAGTATTCATGTGAAATAACACTTGTATTATTTTTATATTGTACTTGTTGGGTTTTTTGGATGATGGGAGCTTTTCATTGTTAATTGAGAAGTACAGTAAAATCTTGTTAATTTGCTGACCTCTAAACAGAGCATCTGACAGGTTTCTACATCCCTCATGGTCCTTTCCCACCTCTCTGCAAGGGTCTAAAAAGTACTGTAGCAAGGTCTCACACAATAATACTGTACTACTTCACCCAAGTATACTACAGCATCTCTATTAGTATACTAGGAGGTAGAAGGAGTATTGAAAACTAAATTGCAGTTGTCAAAATAAATTAACAAAGTACTTTTGGTGATGTGACATCCTTGCTTTTGTTGCCTGCTTCTTCACTGTTTTCAAAACTGTAATTTGTAAAGGGTTTCTAAGGCATTGCTGCAAATTATTGGGGTTCTACTGTAACTTTTGGAGTTTATTCTGAAGTATTCATGTTCTCCTATGAAAACTTTCCACCTGAACAGATGCGTTATATTCCATGCTTGACCAGCATATTTTTATAGAATTTGTACCATGTCTAGTAACTGTTTGAAATGAACCAGAATATTTGGATGAATTTACTCTGAATTTTGCAGCATTGGATTACATTATTTGTGTATATTTGCTAACTAAATTTTCTTGGCTTTGAGAGCTTTGATTTTTATTCTTTGTTTGCTTGTTTGAATACCATCACAAATCACAGGGAAAATCCTAATACTCCTGGGAATCCTTTTGGAAATGTTAACAGGCAGGAATATGTTTATGCAGTCGGTACCAGTACACATGTGAACTTTCAAATTGCATGGTTGGTACTGAAGCAAATGAATAATTTTACAGTTTCCTAGAGTTAAATGTCTTACTAAAATGAAGCCTTGTAACTTTGAAAGTTCATTGGACTTAGGGTAATGCATGTTTATGTTAGGCATGTAATGCATTTAGCTGAAACTCACTTTGCAAAGGACAAGCACTAAGAAAGTGTTACTGCTAATGAAAAGACATGTCTAATTTGAAATTTTAAATTCTGTTCAAGTTCAATTTGCTTTGTGTCAGGGAAATAAATTTATAGTTGCTTTTGCTCTAGTCAACATACAAAACCTTCTGTTTCCTTTTTAAAATTACATCTTTTGGTGGGAAACACAAACTGAGGCAAGCAAACATTTCTAAGAGTTGTTTCTTGCTGTCCTTAATCCAATGGATGGAAAGGTAATATTGTGTAAACAACATTATTTTATTTTTTTATGCAATATCATGCTGTAAATATGATTTATCAAATAAGGATGTACCTATGATTGAATCTTTGATTCTGCACAGCTAGAGTTTATATATAAATATAAATGTGTCTTGACAATCAAGGACTTATGTCAGTCTTCCTTTATGACGTTTCTTATTGTTATGCATTCCATTTGTTTGACTTGAGTATTTGTATTGTCTGTAAAGTATGTAATGTTTTTATAGCTTGTTTAAAAACAAACAGAAAAGCCTGTAAATATGAACTGATCACAGTACTGCTCTGTTAGAAGGCATATGATAATGTACTGTTTGTAAGCAATAATACATGACAGTGCTGACTTGACAAGTAGCATAAGGATAAGTTCCAAAAATACCTTTGGGAGTTAATAGCCTTGTTTGAGTTAATGAATATTCTTAATCATTTTTTAATAAATAAATTCAGATGTCCTCCTGCTGGAATATAAACCATTGTTTACAGAGCACAATTTCAGTCACAGAGAGGACAGTCTTTAGCTCTATGGCTTCGTCCACTTTGAGAAAGGAATGGCTTGGCTGCACTTCTGCGAGACGAGGAAGACTGCTGAGGTTGAATAGCTGTGTCTCTAAAGGATCAGAGATACTATTCTGCTTCTGTGCTGATTCCTGCCAGTTCCTCTACACAAAATTGGAGTCTTTAAGTCCTGATATTGAACTGATGAGACTTGGGCCACCCATAGAAAGGAATAGTTCTCTTCTTACTTCATATGCAGATAAACAGTGAACTTTTGAGTCACCTCTTCCTTTGAGTTGCATATTTTTCAAATTATGAGCTATGAGATGGGTTTATTCTGATAAACTAGATGTCAAACTTATAGTTTGAATTGAATAGGTATTAGACTGTACAGAGCAGCATATCAATTTGAACAGTCATCACTGCTTTAGAACCTCCCCCCCAATTTATAAATGTATATGACCTACATTTTATAGAAAAAGAAATGTTTTTAAATGCTAGTCATTTATATAATATGTGCTTTGAAGGATTTGCTAGTCCACTTCTGTCACTTTTAGTACACTGGTATCTTTTATATGTAATGTATGCTTTTTATTATTATAATTATTATTATAATTATTATTATTGTAGACATTTCAGTAGGAGGAATTTTGCAACAGTATGAGGGGTTGAAATTTTCATTGTCAGAAATGAATTATACTGGACTTTGTCTGTGTAGTCTTGTCTTTCTTTAAATACTGTCTGGAAGGGAACTTGGTATTCAATAAAGCAAGTGACTTCCTTTTATTTTGAAGGCATACTATATAGTGCTGAATTGGATCTGAAAATATAATGGATTTGAAGACAGAGAAATTAGTACAAAACCTAGTGTACAGAAGAAATTGTCTTATGAAAAACCTGATGATATATATATAGTGAAACACTGGTACAGTGAATTTCTGATATAGTGCTATTTTCCTGGAGTCCATATGCCTTCTTTGTATTTCAGTTAATAAAAAATAAGATAATTTGTATAGATAAATTTAGGATAATAGGTTTATTTCAATCATGATACAGTATTTCTTTATCCTACAACATCTATTCCGTCCCTGTATTATCAGACAAAAGACCATAGCCTGAATTCCATCAGTTGGAGTGTGTATATATAGGTGAGAGATGGTTTTATAGGAACCTGGAAAGTATGAATTTACATATTCCTTATGTTTCTGACAGAAATCAGTGTGTGAGTCTTTCATTATTCCTGTGAAATGAGGAATTTCCTGATACCAAGAAGAGAGTGAGAGTGTGTGTGTGTGTGTGTGTGTGTGTGTGTCTGAGTGCGAGTGCAGGTCTATAGAAGATGTTTGGGTCTTAAGGCCAAAATGATAAAAGTATAAAAGGATTTAATGTAGCTCAACACATGACTTAACATTTAATATGTAAAAGAAACATTTAAATTTCATAACTCACAAAAAGACAAAAATAGTTTTGCAGGGAACAAAACTATTTGGATAGCAGGCTTGACCAAATGAATTTTTTTTGGTTAAACTTGATATATTTTAAATGATTCTATTTCTGCCTTTATTTCTGCCCTAAAAGCAACTTAAAATATTTTGGGAGTTACTCTTCCTGTTCATTTGACTGTGAGTGTAATTTATATCATGGTTTACAAAATGTGGCATGAAGGATTGGATTGTTTTATCTGTATAATACAATGAAAGTTTGCTTTTTTTTTTACATAATCATGGTGAATGGTATTGTATTCTTAGACTGATTTATTCATTAAGTGACTTAATGAGTTTCATCACTTTTGACGTTATTGTTTTCTTATGGTTAACTTAGTCTTTTTGGGTTTATAATACCCTTCTATGTATTGTGATACTAAGGGAAGTTATGTTTTTGCTTTATTTTTAATTAAACTAATAGTTTGATAATTTATATTTGCAAATGATGCATTTTAAATGTGGTCACTTGCTGTTTGAAAAATAAAAATATAGAATACTGTTTTATGAATAGACTTAGCAGTATTTTTCATGTTAGATAATTTCAAACAAAATCTGCTTTCTTAATGAGACAGATGAAGGCATGTAAAGATACATATTGTGCAAGAACTGAAGTGGATACTTTTCAACAATTAAATGAAATATTTAAGTATTTGTTTTGAAACACAGAACTTATTTGGGTTTTCTTCTCCTTTGGATCTCATTGTCTCCTTTGATTATAGAAAACAGAATATCTGACCTTAACTTCAGTGCTGGTTGTCTGAGAAGGTTGTACTGAAACCACTCTAATAGAAACACCTAGTGTTAGACCAGCTTTCCTTTTGTGATTTTTGTTTGCACTGGAGTGAGTGTGTTCAGTGCCAGCAGCTCCTTACGCACCTGAGAATCAGGACTTTGTTTTAATTTCATTTGTAAGAAGGGTGAACTCAATTACTCAAGATTTCAAGTCCGTTGGATAACAGTGCCGTGTGTGCACTACAGCATTTTTTAGCACGTGTAGTATATGGAGTATTTGTTACATAGATTTTTCCATTGTTAAAGCAAATATTTTAAAAAATACTGAGGATTACAGCATTTATGCAAAACCATAAATATGCCCTGTAGCATTAATTAATAGTAATTCCCTTTTCTCATCTTTATTTGTTTGTGTGTATCAGGCATGATGTTTCCCTGAATCTTTTGGTAGGGTCCTTTTTGGTAAATACTTGATTTTTGTGGAATGCTTGGCTGTGTTGATTTTACTTCATGTGAAAACAAGTTTTATGTAAGAAGGTTTAAAAGTGGCACGACACCTTTTAAAGAGGGAAGAGCTGTAGTGAAGCAGTGTGTGAAGACTGGAGCTGGGATCAGATGAGCGCGGCAGGAGGAGCTGGTGGGACAGGGATGTCACCAGCCCCTCACCCGCGGGTGCAGCAGGGCCACTGCCTGCCATCCATCTCTGGCCACCTCGGGAACCTCCTCTGGCTGTGTGAGAGGAGCTTCTCCTGTGGCCCCAGCTGCACCTGCTGGGGAGGTTGGCCCAGCTGGCTGGATTTGGCTGTAGCAGACAAGGGCGCTCAGGTTTGCTCTCGTGGCTTACCCAGGGACAGCAGCCCGGGGTGGTCACTGGCTGCAGCAGCACACACTGGAAGTGGCCTTAGGAAATGCCCCTGCTCAGTCCCTCTGAGCCGTGCAAGGCACTGCTTTGTGTGCCCCTGGAGCAGGGTATGAGCACAGCTCCAGCACTGGACGGGGCTTGGTTTCAGTCTTACTGCAGTGTGCAAGTTATGGTATTGCCTTTTTAAAATACCTTGTGAACTTCACGTGATATGTTAGCATCCCGCCAGCATAATAACTGCTTTTAATGGTTCATGTTTGATGCTTTTAAGTTGTGGGTGCACTCTGACTCTGCAGTGTTCCTGATGACAGTGGCTGTGTACTCAGCCACCCTGGTTTTTATTTTCACATTAGTTATACTAATTTTCATTTGTTTTAATTATGTAGTGGAAATAAGAAATCAAAACTGATCACATCTGCCTATTGACTTTTTTGATTAATACTGTCAAAGAGTAAAGTGATACTGAAAAGATACTTTTCAACATTTTGGTATTGAAAAGAATGATCAGAACCTATATTTTGTGTTGAGTGAGAAAAATAGTCTGTTTAAATTAGCTTGCTTTTAGTTTTTTGCTAGGAGAATGAAGCATTTTTCTGTTAAAAGAATTGGTTATTTGTTTATTTAGAGGCATTAAAATATCTCTTTGCAATTAGTATTTTTCTCGCAGTGCACAGGGTAAACTATTCTGTGGTTTCAGGATAAGACAGCAGTTTATAAAAGTTTGGAGATTTGGAGGTGTGTTGTCTTAGGGAGGTCATCTCAGAAAGTGTCTTGTTTGTTGATTATCTTCTGCATTGCACTTGCCAAATCAACAGAAGATAGTCTTCCATAGAATATTGTTTGCTTTTCTGTCTGCTTTAGTTGTCAAGCCATGAAGTTTAATGAAGAGAGCTGTTCACTGGAACAGGGGTTTAAAAAGGAGCCCATCTGTGCTGCCCTTTCAAAGCCAACAGCCCTGCCCTGGTTGCTCAGGTAAGTTGCCTCCTCTGCAGTGCTCTTCCCTTTCACACCAGGGCTGGCCTTCAGTTTCCTGACTTCCCTGCTGTGCCATCTGCTTCAAATGCATACATGTACAAGCCACTGGCAGAGATTAAATGGGATGACTTGGTGAGGTTCCATTTTAAAATGTCTGTGCGGGTCTTTTGCAGTCCAGCCAGTCTACGTCACTTTTACCTGTGTCAGCAGCCATGCACATCATGCAGAAATCATGGAATCCAGTTCCTACCTCTGTTATTAAACTCACTTCTGGACGTTTGCTGGGTGTACAAGTCACTGTTGTTTTTTCCACTCGGACTCCATCTCCCTGGGCAGCTCTGCCTGTCTTCCACAGGACAGCCAAGATGTGTTGCTGTGTGATCGCTGTTGGTGTGATTTCATTGGGCTGGTGGCTGTGTCTTCCAGGCCTCTTGGCTAGAAATGTGGTGCCTAGTCCCAGGCTTTGTGCTGATTTCTTCTTAGATAGATGAGTGCCTTGGCAGTAGCTTGGATGTAGCTGCCTTCATTTAGAGGAGGTGATACCTTCTTAGCAGCTATGGAAATACAAGTAGTACCACTGAACGTGTTAATTTTCACTTTTATTTGCATAAAATCTTCGTTTTCATCATCAGATATGATCATTAGTGCCATTTCACAAAGGCAGAAGTAACAGCTTTTGTTAGATCAAAAGCACTAGCCTGGCCCAAATGAAACCAAAAGGATCCATTACTTTAGCTGTGTAAATTATAAAGAAATACTTCTCTGTTGTATAATGAATAATGACTGTTCAAAATGTGTAAGTATTGTACTCTGGAAGCTTTTCAGGAGCAGCACATCCTTAATCAGTCTTGTCACAGGATAAACTGAGCCATGAGAGAGGATAAAACAACACTGCAAGTGCTGGGAATGTTCAGGGTAATTGCGAGGTAATCTCGACCACGCAGTGACAGCAACAGCAAAAACAGAGGATGACATCAGAAGCTGAAAGGATGACTTGTTTGTTTTCTCTCAAGTCCTGTGTTTTCCTCCATTTCTCTTTGCCAGTTCCTGAAATCATCTTTGTTAAAAAGCTAATGTAGACAGAACAGCCTAAGAAAGATACAGCTCAGAAAGACATAAGCAAGTGCAAAGGGTACCAGTGGGACAAAGTGATCTTTTCCTGCAAACCAGGACTCTGAAAGGGGGAATTTTCTTTAGGACTACATCTGTTCCCTTAGAGGAAGAGAGCAGGATGATTGATAAAACTGCTAGCCTAACACATAGCTAGAGTGGTGGATGTTGCAGCTACTTGAAAATGAGCCATAAGGACAGTGTGAGTCCCCACAGCGGGTGTGGAAATGTACTTTGGCAGTATTGGCTCTCACAGAGTTGCTGCTTGAAAATCCATTTTAAGGAATTGAAACAGGAATGTTGTTTGTGGTGATGCTCAGGTATTATGTTGATAACTGCGATTACACACACTGAATACCACCTGGTAAAAATCCATTTTAAAGGCAAAGTATTTTACAGTTTGCAGCTGTGAGTGAACTTCAAAAAGATTGTCTCTTCATTTAGTCTGAGAACATACTCTGTGTATCACAGCCTGTTTTATGGTCAATCTAGGGTTTGTAGGTCATTAAGTGATGTGATTAGCTAAACTGGGTATTTATTCACAGCTTGTGCTGCTGTGTACATAGAAATTGCACGTTGTGTTATGAGATGTGTATGTCTGGTAGCTGAAGAAGATGATGAGGTAGGTGACAACTAATATTCATCCTATTAAGGATCAGTACTTTCCACATTTCACAGGGTGGCTCAGACTTGTGGATGTTTCAAATTCTCATCTTCTCTTGCTGACTGACCTCTGCACTGCTGTTTCCTTTCCCTCTTTCTGGAGGCCCTGCTTGTGTCTTTGACATCTCTGCTGTTCCCATACCTGTTCTGTCCCACCTAACCTTTAGTCACCCTCTTCACTCTCTTAAATCCATTTCCAGACTCCATTCCCTGGAGCAATTTCCAGTCAGTGACAGCACATGGATCATCAAATGTCTTCTCAAATCATGGTTCAGGATGTCCAGTGTGTGGGTCTGCCAGGCTTTGGATGGCTCCATCTGCCCCAGGACCTTTGTAACTTGAGGGAGAGGATTCCAGAAGGTCTGTGGAATTCGCAGTGTCCTTTGCTAGCCCTGAAAGCACTTGAGATTTGCACTTTGAGAAAACAATTTTAACACTTAGTTTCATTTTCCTCTCTATTTATTCCCTGTAGAGCTACGGTACTCAGCATAATGAGAGAGAATTTTAATTAGGGCTTTTAGAAAACTTTCTCAATTTGTGATAATTTTCTTGGAAGGCCTTAAAGTGGTATGGAGTGAGACTTAGATGAAGACACTGGTTCTGAAATGCACACAGCCCTGCTGAAGGAGGGCTCTTGCTCTTGGAAGGATTCTTTTAGCAAGCAGGAGAATGTTGAAAATTGCCATGACTAAAATAGGAACAGAGATTAACACCGAACATTCCTGAAAGTGCCTCTCTTTTAGCAAGCAGGAGAATGTTGAAAATTGCCATGACTAAAATAGGAACAGACAGAGATTAACACCAAACATTCCTGAAAGTGCCTGTTAGCAGTGCTTGGTGATTTCAATGTGTCAGTCCTTGAAAAAAACTTTTACTGGTTTTCTCCTGTGGTTTTTCCAGTGCAGAGGCAGGATTTCCCAAAGGAGTTGGCAAGTGGCAGTAGCAGCTGACCCAAGAAACTTCTTCAGCACTTGCCAGGTGTGCACATATGTGTGGAAGGGCATGGAAGTGCCTGTGAGCAGGCTACAGGGCTTGGTCCTCAGGGAATTCGTGACTTTTCACAAGTGCTGCAACAAATTCAAGATACTTATTTCAGATTTTTCACTGGCCCTCATGATGGGAGAATCTGACTGAACCTGTTCCCTGATAGCTGTAGTGTGTAAAAAGAAGGGAGTGGAGGAGAGCTTCTGAAATATTCCAGGAATGGGATATCTGGGGAGCTATCCATAGAACTGGGATTGTTCAGCTTGGAAAAGATGCTTAGGGGTGACCTAATTGCAGCCTTCCAGCACCTGAAGGGAGCTTAAAGGGAACACTACAAGAGCATGTAGTGACAGGACAAAGGG